TTCATTTTAAAATTCCTGTCAAACAAAACGAGTCTCATCTTCTAGTTCTACATTAAAAATAATAAAATTCATTAAATCATTTAAGCGATGGCAACTGCAGGATGTATTTTTCCATTCAATTGCCTTTGATTCACATTTTCGAGAACATTTTTTCTCCTTAAAGAAATTTATCGATGACGTTTGGTGTTTATTTTACATCCAAATGTCGTTCTTATGCGACATTCATAAGCACAAGAGTGGAAGGGACAAAAGTGCAGCATTTTTTATTTAAAAACTTAATTCTTAAGTGCCTTTTTTTTTTTGAGAACAAAAACCTAAATTTCTTTTAAAAAATGCCGCCAAGAATGCTCAAAAGACTTCGTGTCATATGCAATTGCGCAAGGATTATGCAAAAAGAAAATATGCAGGCAAATTCCAGTCTTCCTTTCATGTCACAATAGTCACAATTCTTTCGGTTATTTTGGCACCATCACAAAGGAATTTGTTTACGTTTAAGTGAATAATTTTCTAATTTGTCTTTAACTTTTTTTATGTCCTATGCCATTGTGTTGCATCAGCTTTTTCTTAAGGGACCACCCAATTACATGCTATAATGCTCCTATTTGTGCTAATAATCATCATCTTGAGAATGGAATTAATCTTCATCGATGCAGATATCGCACAAATGTTTATGTTCATTATAATAATAATGCACATGGACAGGAAATGAAAAAAGTTCTTTTTTTTGCCATTGCCAAGCCCACAAAAATTGAGAAAATTAATTCATAAATTTCATATTTTTGCATTCTTTGTTTTGTTTGTGTCTGGCGAATTTAATGCCTTATTTAGCTGATAAATTGAGGAATCAGAGGAGTTGGATTGGCTGTTTTGGTGGTCATTTGAAAAAGTATATTGTGAATCGCTCAAAATTTTAGGATTCGAATTTTAGAAGTTTCTGGAATAATTAAAACTGCAAAAAATATGATATAAATTGACAGACTAAGAATAGTTTTTTAATTAAGTAGGATTTCAAGCTCAGAATTATCAATTATTAATAAATTTACACAAGTTGTTCATGTCTTCAATGTTAAAAATCTTAATTTATAATGTAAATATTTAAGAAGACTTTGGGGGGGGGGGGGGTACTGACACTAAGTTCACACGTCTTCTGTGCAACTTCATGTTATTTCAGCTGACCATATCTGGCACTCATATTGATAGACAGAGATGCGTCACATTCCGCAACAACCAAAATCTCATCAAAACTCACAATCCTATAATCCATACAGCCAAGACAGAGAGAAAGGTCACTTGTCGCTTCCATTAGAGGTCAAGTTAAGCAATTCTTTACACCGTGCGCTTTGCATTGTCTCTCCCCTACACCCAAGCATAACAACAATAATAACAGGCAAAAAAATAAAATAAAACTATTCGCTCACACAAAAAAACCTAATAATTCATTGTTATCCATTGTTCTGTGCCTTTATTTGCCTTACTCTCTTTTGCAAAATTATTTTTTTTGCAGTATGTAATGATGCAGATGCATGTAGAATTGAATAATAAACATCAGAAAAAATATTTTATGAATGCTCGTTGTGGCTGGATATATCAATAATTAAATCAAAGTCATGCGAGGGCTATTTTATGGTAATTTGAGATTTTTTGGGACTGAGTTGAGGATTAATAATGAAAAAAAAAATTAAATTTGATTAAGGTGGTCAAAAAAGTTTTTCTGCAGAAATGTAATTTACACGATTTTAATGCAATCATATTTGTAGGATACGAACATAGATTTTGTCGTCTTACTAAACGAATCTTTTAATAACTTTAGATTAAAAATGGATATTTGTAGATTCATTTTAAATATCATTTATGTCTTCACAATTTTCATATCAAAAGAATCTCTCGCGCCCCTAAAAAATTAACATTCTTTATCCCACCAAATCCATAAATTCCAAACAGATAAATTGCAATCAAAAATCTACACTAAATTGCATTCTCATGACGCGTTCAGCAGCTATTTTGCATAGTTTTTGACACGCGACAAGAGCGTTTATGACTTTTTCGTGCTCTATCGATTGTGTCGCTCTATGCAAATTAACATCCATGGACATATGAAAGACATGCATAAAAACAATTGAAGGATATTGATTATAATACACGGGTTTGGGCATTGAAAATAAATATTTTGATTTTTTTTCTGAAGGCATAACAAATTTAATTATCGGCCTTCGTTGCTCTCTCGGGGATATGAGAATGAGTAAATGTAGCATGAGATTACATATGGAATGAAATATTGATGGTCTCTTGATAATTTTGTTGGGATATCCATCGGCTTTTTTTGTGTGGGAAAAATGAGAATTTTTATATATTTTTGAAGCATAAAATTTGTAAGGTCTGATATCGTTAAATAACTGTATCTTGTTTTGGGATAGAAGAGAAGTTGTTGAATTGTGCTGAACTAGTACTCTAGACTCTACGTTATCCAAAAGGCATCTAAAAAGCAAAAAAGAGCAAAAAAAAAAACTTAGAAATAGATGAAACAAAATTTCTTTAAAAATCTTTTAAGGATTTGAACCTTTTACTTTGCAATAACTTTTATTCTATTTTTTAATCGATGGTTAAGTTCCTGAATTAAAAGCTTATTTAAACTTAAGCTAGCTTCCATGTTCAAAACCCATTCAAAAAAAATCCAAATCCATTTAAATCATGAAAGTACTGTTCTTTAGTTCTATCCCAAAGATTTGCGGCACATTTTTTATATATTTTTTATGAACTATTTAAAGCATAATTTTCATAAGCATTAGCCTGTCAGCGAAGTGTAACACCAGTAGTCATCATCTCCAATACCGTTTAAATAAAACATATTGTATGAGGCAAAGAATGAGGTAGAAATAGTCATTTATAATTTCATAGCGCAACGATAAGAAAACACGGTGTTGGCAATTTACCTCTAATCGTTCGTCATCTTCCATCCATTGCCATAGCAAAATTGCCTTCCAAATGACTTCTCAACGCTCTGCTAGATACCTAGAATAGCTTTACCTTGCAGACAGTCTATCCACTTATCTATGTGGATATGGAATTTTTTTGTGTGTATAGAAAAATTGTTTTATTGTTTAAGGCATTTTCGTGACCAGATGATAATAGTTTTTGATATTGTAGATGGATTTATTCAAGATATTGTTGGATTGGCGGGTATGAAGTGTGAATTTTTGCAGTTGTGGAGTGTCCATTGTTGGGATTTCACTGGATATGCATTGGGGTTAAGAACTTTTTTCAAAAATAGTTCGTTATTGGTATACTTAATAAGTGATCAGCATAAGTTAAACTTGATTACTCCACAAAATTTGTGTTGTGATTTAAATCTCCTTTTTGCAGAATTAAGAATGTTGTGAAAAATAGATTTGTGGCAAAATGTTTTAATAAAGAATAAATCGTCTTAGAAGTCATGGTTTCGAATCCCTATTGACCTATAAATTTATACCCAAGATTTTTAACTGAATGATTTCTTAATTTTTTTTTGTGAAATTTCAAAATTAAAATTTTTTTCTTATCCAAAATTGCAAACTACAAAGCAACTTAACAAAAAGCGTGGATTAAAATTTACACTCTATTTTATTTTTTTTTTGAAAAAAGCAATAAATAAATTATATTAAAAAATTCTAAACTTAACTTGAGCTAAATCCGAAAGTGAACAAAACAAAAACACTGAATAAAAATTCCTCAAAGGCATATCCAAGCGATTATGCGATTTTATTTTTATTCGTTCAACACTTTTTTTTTATTACTCAAGACATTTATGTTGAGCTTCTGTGTTACAAATAAACAATATAAAGATGTTGAGAATAACATCAGTGCCTGAATCGACCATAAACTCACTCGTTGAGCTGAAAGTTTTATGCAAAAAGGTGTGAGAGGCTTGACGGATTGGGTGCTGAATGTTGAATTAGGTATTGACTTGAGTTAAATGGGTAAAAAAATGAAAAAGAAACCAAGGACAAATGAACCGTTGAAATAATATATTGTAGATTTAAGGATTCGAACCCATAACTTTAAAATGCGCTTAAAAAACCACTCAATCATACCCAACACTGCATTCCATCCTTTCCATCTCTTTCCTCAATTCCTCTTTCTTCAAAAATATAAGTGTTGAATGCCTGAGCATGAATTATTTGCTGCTAGTGTTGTTTTACTTTGTTGATGTTTATGCAAAGAAGATAACACTGAATAAATAATTTTGTAACATAAAGATTATGCTATAAAGGCATCCGCATGCATTCTATGGATTCTCAAATAATGGCATGAACGATAATGCAAAGGAACTTGAGTAAGGCGTAAATTTATGGCACGAACGATTGTGGCACTAAAAGGTTAATTTTTGTTAACATCTATGGCAAAGTCATGAATGTGTCGCGTAAATGGGAAGTCAGTGCATTGTTGAGATGAATCTCGAGATCTTGGGATGATAATTAGCATAATTTTTATAAGATAAGGTGATATTGTTTGTCTGTCTGTCAATTGTTGTGCTCAGATCTATCATTTTGTGAGTCTATATCAGTCATCTGCTGATCTTGAGTTCAAATATTTCTCCACCGTTATTTTTAAATATTTTCCGACCGTTAATTTTCAAATAATTTTTTATCGTTATTTTTTCAATCTTTTTATTACTACGTTTTTCTTAACTTGCTTTCTTGTTTGTTTGTTTGTTTGTTTGTTTGTTTGTTTGCAAAAAATTTCAAATCTTGCGATCAATTTTTCGACCACTTCTACTGCTCCAATCGAGCTCAAATTTTTAATGCACATGTATTCCCGGTGACAATACAATATTTTAACACTTTGGAAACACAAAAATGCTTAATTATAGTACAATTTATGTAAAACTTTTTTATATGGGAAAAAATCCAATGTCAATGATATAAAATTTTGATTTGTATTAAATATTATACTTGTGATGCTCTAAAGTCATTTATATGATTCATTATAGTTTAATTAATATTACTAATTATTAATTATACCATAAATTTGAGCAGCTAAAGATATTCTGGTAAGACAAAAAAATTGACATGTAATTTTTTCATGAATATTCGTAAGTGAAAATTTGAATTTTCAAAAAAACCGTTAAGCACAAGTCCGTTACGAATTAATGCAAAATAACTATTAATATGCGATGTGCATTTAGCACACATAGTTTGAGCATAAATTTATGCTGTTTTAAATGTATTGCATTATTTATAACACTTCACCAACTTAATTAAATTGACTTTTCTTTTTATTAACGGTTTGACGTATTTTTGCATAACATATAAATGATATTCATTGAATTTAAATTTGAAAATCCGTTATAAATACGTTACATATGTGATTTGCATCTTTATAGTAAGAATCCACACGTTATGAAGTAGAAATGGTACAGATAAACACAAAATCTTTACGAGTGATTTTTAATGTACTTTACTAATGAATGCTTTAAAAAAATTAAATTTTATAAAACGAATGAAAAATTTTGAAAGTCGTTACTAATTTCCCATTGAAAACTGGTAATTTATAAACAGTTGAACGTAACGGAGTGAAACGAAGTGGAGTTCAACACACCGGTAACCTATGAACCTACTGTAATCTATAAACAGTTGAACGTAACGAAGTGCAACGAAGTGAAGTTCAACACACCTGTAACCTATAAACCTACTGTAATCCATAAACAGTTGAACGTAACGAAGTGCAGCGAAGTGAAGTTCAACACACCTGTAACCTATAAACCTCCTGTGATCTATAAACAGTTGAACGTAACGAAGTGCAACGAAGTGAAGTTCAACACACCTGTAACCTATAAACCTCCTGTGATCTATAAACAGTTGAACGTAACGAAGTGCAACGAAGTGAAGTTCAACACACCTGTAACCTATAAACCTAATGTAATCTATAAACAGTTGAACGTAACGAAGTGCAGCGAAGTGAAGTTCAACACACCTGTAACCTATAAACCTAATGTAATCTATAAACAGTTGAACGTAACGAAGTGCAACGAAGTGAAGTTCAACACACCTGTAACCTATAAACCTACTGTAATCTATAAACAGTTGAACGTAACGAAGTGCAACGAAGTGAAGTTCAACACACCTGTAACCTATAAACCTACTGTAATCTATAAACAGTTGAACGTAACGAAGTGAAGTTCAACACACCTGTAACCTATAAACCTACTGTGATCTATAAACAGTTGAACGTAACGAAGTGCAACGAAGTGAAGTTCAACACACCTGTAACCTATAAACCTACTGTAATCTATAAACAGTTGAACGTAACGAAGTGCAACGAAGTGAAGTTCAACACACCTGTAACCTATAAACCTACTGTAATCTATAAACAGTTGAACGTAACGAAGTGCAGCGAAGTGAAGTTCAACACACCTGTAACCTATAAACATAATGTAATCTATAAACAGTTGAACGTAACGAAGTGCAACGAAGTGAAGTTCAACACACCTGTAACCTATAAACCTACTGTGATCTATAAACAGTTGAACGTAACGAAGTGCAACGAAGTGAAGTTCAACACACCTGTAACCTATAAACCTACTCTAATCTATAAACAGTTGAACGTAACGAAGTGCAACGAAGTGGAGTTCAACACACCTGTAACCTATGAACCTACTGTAATCTATAAACAGTTGAACGTAACGAAGTGCAACGAAGTGAAGTTCAACACACTTGTAACCTATAAACCTACTGTAATCTATAAACAGTTGAACGTAACGAAGTGCAACGAAGTGAAGTTCAACACACCTGTAACCTATAAACCTACTGTAATCTATAAACAGTTGAACGTAACGAAGTGCAGCGAAGTGAAGTTCAACACACCTGTAACCTATAAACCTAATGTAATCTATAAACAGTTGAACGTAACGAAGTGCAACGAAGTGCAACGAAGTGAAGTTCAACACACCTGTAACCTATAAACCTACTGTGATCTATAAACAGTTGAATGTAACGAAGTGCAGCGAAGTGAAGTTCAACACACCTGTAACCTATAAACCTACTGTAATCTATAAACAGTTGAACGTAACGAAGTGCAACGAAGTGAAGTTCAACACACCTGTAACCTGTAAACCTACTGTAATCTATAAACAGTTGAACGTAACGAAGTGCAACGAAGTGAAGTTCAACACACCTGTAATCTATAAACCTACTGTGATCTATAAACAGTTGAACGTAACGAAGTGCAACGCAGTGGAGTTCAACACACCTGTAACCTATAAACCCCCTATAATCTTTATTTCTCTATTTCATTAGAATAAGACTAAAAAGTAGAAAATAAAATACTTTATAAAAAAAAACTTTTTAAAAAACTACGTTTTTCGCGTAGACTAAAAAGTAGAAAATAACTTTTATTCTTGGTTGTAAAGAATTTGGGTTTAAATTTTCAGATTATATTTAATAAATTTTTATATCCTAGTCAATATTGTTCACAAAGTTTCGAATAAGTGCACTTTGATCTTATCGTATAACTCAACAACTTAAAAACGTGGGCGCATTATAAGAGGAGAAATAAGTTTATGTGAAATCAATACTTTATGATAAACTTAAATTAATGCGCCCACGTTTTTAAGTTGTTGAGTTATACGATAAGATCAAAGTGCACTTATTCGAAACTTTGTGAACAATATTGACTAGGATATAAAAATTTATTAAATATAATCTGAAAATTTAAACCCAAATTCTTTACAACCAAGAATAAAAGTTATTTTCTACTTTTTAGTCTACGCGAAAAACGTAGTTTTTTAAAAAGTTTTTTTTTTTGAAAGTTATTTTTCAAATATTTTTTGAACGTTATTTTTTGAAAGCGCTTTTATCAAGTAATCATGCAAAAATCCTTATTAGTATTTTATGTACAACTACAATCGACTTATTTGACTATGGTCATGTTCATGATTAAGATTAATACTTCAAGCTGCAGGACAAAAGTTCAATTCCCCCGCAGTACAAGATCACAGACAAAAAATCATATGCAGCACAAAAAAAAACTGCATAATCGCAATCATTTCAAGATTCCCAGAGTAATGAACATGACAGTCAAGCGAAGAAGAAAGCAGACACAAAAAAGCAGTAGAAAATTGATGAAGAACAACAGGTAGCAATTACTTGTTACCTCTCAATCTCCCATTGTCTTTCATACGGCAATCATTAAGGTGATGGAGATCAAACTTGTAATGTTAAATATTATAAAAGTAAATATACATCTTGTAATTGATCTATGCGCGGCCTTTAATGTCTTGTCGCGCTCCTTCTCTCTCTTACTTTATTTTTTTATATTTCATACTTTCGTGTTCCGTACATGCGAACAGATCTTTTTTATGTCGCTTCTAATGATTTACGATTTAATAGAAAAATTGCATGAAGAATCGATGGGAAATTCAGTAGCAAAAGCCACAAAAACAAAGACGTGGATGAAGAATGCGAAATCAGAATAATGTGAATTTTTTTTTGGTATTTGGTTTCTTGAGGTTGATGGTTGTGGTGCTGATTGGTAAATGAAAGTGGACTGTAGAGAAAAAAAAATCAAAAAATCAAGTTTCGATCTTGCACTTGCCTGTCGTTTTTATTGCCTGTCACACATAAACGTGGCAAATTTCTGAACGCACTCATCACGTGTTTTTCAAATGAAAAAAGATATTCATTAATTATAGCACGAAGCCATGGTTTTAAGCTTCAAAACTATTCGATCGGTCAATAACTCGATAGAACTGAGCTAATAAAACAAATCCGAGCTCTCTACGATGTCTTCTTAAAAAGTTTTTATATGCCCGAACGAGCAGACAAACGAATGAACAAAGTGTATTATTAAGCTACCTTTTAGAATCAAGTTTCAAAAATGCGCTAAAAATGTCAAATCTTCTTTCTGAAAAAAAAACAAAATTGCAATAAAAATTGGTTATGCCTCAAATCCTCAAATATTTGTGTAAGCAACAGATCTGTTTATCCTGCACACAACAAAAAGCAATAATTTTTTGACCTGTTACAATCTGTTTACAGTCCCTTTCACACACAAACTTCCTGCTTACTCGACCGATAACTGACCGTCATCAATATCCAATTGTGTGGAAGAAGTAAACTCGTTTAAGAGCTAAAAAGGATATTCAACATGTTGTTTTGATTTTTGTTCTTGTGGTTTTTGTTTAAATTGGTTTCATGCTCGACATTTGGATTCACTTTTTCTCGTTTACGGGTCATATTCATTTCCGAACAGACAACAGCAGAGAAGAATTCTAACGGCACATTTTTATGTTGAGAATGAAAAAAAAGGAACAGAAACAAATTTTTTTTTATTTAGTCGATGACAATGGATTGTTGTTCTGTGCACAGACAATTTAATTTCACGCAACAAAACCGCAATTTTCTTCTTCATTCTCCTTCTTCTATCCATTATTTTCGTTGATGATCATGCTTTTGTGCTCCAATTCTTTATCATTATTATTATTATTTTTTTGCTTCTTCTCTTGTTGGCAGCTACTACATTTGAGTCTCTTTTTCTTGATCATGATGATCAACAAAGAATGATGACGATTTTTTATTGGATTTGAGATTGAACATTCTTTTGATTTTTTTGCGGCATGATTTGGCAAAAATGAGGAAGTTGAAGGAGATTGATTCAAGGTATGGGAATTTTAAGCTTATTGAGGACATACATATGATTTTGAGTGTATAAAGGGACCAGTTTTTTGGTTAAGCTCAGAAAATTCCAAATAGCGCTTAATAGACAGAAACGTAAGCAAAAAAGGTTTAGGGCTGGTTCGAATCCTTTACTTTGAGAGTTTGAATCCCATTCTTTAACATTGTTCCTGACTAAGATCAACTATAAGTTCGATAAAGACTCCATATTCACAAAAATCATAAGAAGTCGAATCAATTTCACATCAGCATGCATAGATGCACCCAAATCACATGCATATTAAGTTCATCAACCTCTCAATAACTCCTCAATTTCATCCATTAAAATTCCAAAAACACAACTTTTTTACAACTTATGCCCTCGCCTTGCCATAAATCAAACATAATTTTGTCTTCTTTCATCTTCACATCACATCCAAAAATGAGGAAGTAAAGTCATGGAAATAAAAATTAATTTTCAAAAGAAAACAAAAATCGGAATCAGATGTAAAATGTCCAATATATGAAGATTCTCATAAATCATGTCTCATCTGCGAAAGCAACTTGTTCGTCCATCTGTTCCTGTATAAAAAAAAAATTATTTTCTCATGCCTCTTACCCCACGGATATTTTTTTTAATGCTCATCAGGGACATGACTGTAAAAAAATAAAGAATCACAACAGAGTGAGAGTGACGGTATGTAAGTTATGTAATGTAAGGATATTTACCGGTCGCACAGCAAAGGCCAAGACATTGCAGACGTCAAGGAATAAAATAAAATAAAAAAAGTTTCTCACGCAGATCTTAAAAAAAATTTGTATGCGACCCCTCATATTGCATAACGACCAATGATTTTTTTTTAGCTGAGGGTCCTGTTTTTTAAGATGCAAGACTGGTTTTTATAATATATTTATGTATAATTTTTTATTATTTATTTATGTTCCTTCTGCAAACTCAACAAAAACCTTTTAATAAATCTCTTCTGTTTTCAATGATTCAGCAGTCCATTTATTCCAATTGCTTCCTTCCTTGGATGTGGAAGAGGTATCGTCTGGAAATGTGTAGTCTATGCTATGTACACATGATAAATTGAGAACAAGCTGCGCGAAAAAAAAGAGTATGAAGTCAAGAGTTTTGTTTTGGATCGCTTCCGATAGAAATAAAATCAATGATGTATGTCACTCAACAGAAATTTACTTAAGGCTAATGTTTAATCCGTTCTGGTTCCTTGTAGAGAATGTTTCTGGAATTTTTTAATATGAAGTTTGAAAAATAGTGTCTTCATTTGATTGTTTGGGGGTGTGGGGAGGGGGGGGGGGTCCTTTTTGATGCTGCTTCATAAGAGATCAAGTGTAGGTTAAGGCATGTCTAGAAGGAGATTATGGATCTTAGATCAAAAAAGGAACAATCGAAAAAAGATAACAATTCAATTTAAAAAATGGAGGAATTGAACCTATGCGCCTTTAAATGAAGATTGTTTGAAATCAACTTTTTATATAACCTGGCCAGTAAACTATCAATTATGTTTTAAAGTGACAGAATACCTATTAATTGACCTGATCCTTCTCAGATTCAATAATTTTACAACAATAGCTTCTAGTATCTGCCAAAAATCACCAAAATCTTCCAAAAATTCTGACAAAATTATCACATCATCCCCAACAAACAACAAAACACCAGAAACAGTTTCTCTTCCTTCCATCTTCACAATTTTCATACCCAAATCATAACAACTTTATATTTAACCCGACAAAAAATTCCTAACACGCCAGACAAAAACAGTTGTTGTAGAAATAGGAAATAAAAGATAGAGTTTCATCATTACCATTCATCAATTGAACTATTTTCATTCAATCTAATAAATCCATGTGTTCCAGCATAAAAACCATAATTTAAATTTATTGAAATTCTACCGTCATAAAATAAGGAAGAAGTGAAAAAAATTAAATAATAGAATTTTTTTTTAAAATTTAATAACCGTTCGTTCCATTCATGCATATTCATTCAATTTTTGGTGATAGATCATTTCGCGTTATCATCCTTTATGTTTAGCTGTATTTTTCTGGTAAAATTTGTGGAAGGTTTGTTGGGTAGCAGTTTGTATTTGATAGGCTTCTGGTTTTTTGAAAACTTATCGGATGGACTAGGTTCAACTACGTTCGACTAGCGTTGACTTTGTATGACTAGAGTTGATTAAGGTCGACTAAAGTGGGTTATGCTAAACTAAGGTCGTCTGAGTTGACTAGATCGATAAGCGTTGGCTTTGTTCGATTAGACTAAGACGTCTACACCTACCTCTACATCAGGAGCGTAGCCAGGAATTTGAAGAGGGGGAGGGGGCAATTTTTTTTTTGTATGGAAAACTTTTAGGGGGGGGGGGTATTTTTTCGAGTTTTCTTCAAGACGAGAATTTCTCAAGACGAAGGGGAATTTGTCCCCAAATCTTCCCCAGATTCTTAGGCAGGGGTTTTAAAATTCTTATTAAGCTAATTCCATCATGAACGAGAAAATGCGCTATTAACCCCTGTACCTATGCCTTCCAAACTCACTCAAAACTATTAATGTGATCACAATTTTTTAAAAATTATTGTATGCAAACAATAGCAAGATCTACCGAAAAAAAGTGAGTATTTAAAAATCAGGGAGGTACACAGTGCAATTTATATCCATTCGCTACATGTCTTCAGTAATGAATCTCATTCAGGAACTCCTAATCTGTGCAATATCAACGCGTAAATATTTTTTTTATTCATTTAATAATTCAATCGTCACTGCCACCGGAACCCTTTATACCCAGAATAATAATTTTTTTTATTATGAATGCATACATGACCTTTTATGAGTACACACAAAGACCCTTGTCATGCTGGATATAAAAAAATACTGTGGGTCTGCCATTTTTTTTAAATAAAAAATATAAATTATAATAAATGAAGAGTTTTTTTATGCGTGAATTTGCATGAATAGACACGACACAGCATAGACACAAAAAAATTGTTAGGGTTAAATATTTTTTTTTCAACATTTCGGGGTCCAGAATCTTCAGAATCATCATCAACAGGGACATGATGAACATTGTAACTTTATTATTATTTATGTATGCATCGCATCTGTTGCAATTGCTAAACTGTAAATTAACAGACAATGATGAACGGCAGGATTTTCGCTCTTTAATTAGCCTCACACAGAATGTACATCCTGGATATGAGTTCACATTAGATATGAATAATGGTTGAGCATAAAGAATCCAATAGATTCTTGTTACCGTTAGGTCGCGTTTTACTTCTTTTAATCCTCTTCAACTGCTGCTGTTTTTGATAATTGCCATTGAATGATCAGCACAAAAAACAATCTCCGCAGCTTCAACAAAGTGAATGGAAATTGAAAAGGATCAGTTGCCGTTACATCGCGCGAAATACGTCCACTTTTGTGTGGTAAAAGAACGGAGATTTTTAAGATGAAAAGAATTTTTGGAGTAAAAAAAAAATTGGTTTTGAAATGAGAAGAAATTTTAAATGGAAGGAACAAAAAAATGTTTTTGAATTTTGATGGCAATAAGGATAAGTTTGACAATATGATTTTTGGAAGATTAAAACGCTTTTAAGCAATAAAAAAATTGATATTTTGGAATAGATATTAGGAGTAGTTGACTAATGCTTGAGAAATTAAAAACCGGCTCCATTATTATAAGTTCGAATCTCAATAAAGCAAGATTTGATCTGGTTAAGAAACTACACAACGATAGAACCTAGTTTTGTAGTTGGAATTCTTAATTTATGGCACTATACTCCATCCTTCTATTTGCGAAACACAAGCTAGTCGCAAAGCTATGAGCAAAGCTAATTGCAAGATAGTCGCAAGCTAGTCGCAAAGCTAGTCGCAACCTAGTCGCAAGCTAGTCGCAAAGCTGGTCTCAAGCTAGTCGCAAAGCTAGTCGTAAAACTAGTCACAAAGCTAGTCGCAAAACTAGTCGCAAAGCTAGTCGCAGGCTGATTGCAAGCTAGTCGCAAGCTAATCACAAAGCTAATCTCAAAGCTAGTCGTAAAGCCAGTCTAAACCTTAACCTAAAATATATTGATGATTGTAGCTAACACAGTATCAACTCTTGAGGATGGTCAAAGATCCTGGATTAGGATGTGTTGAAAAAGACTTTAAATTCGTTAATCTAGTGAATTGTCAAAAGATTTTTAACGGTTGAATTTTTTTTTCATAGAAAAATATAAAAAAAATGAGATATAGCCTTCAAATACCGTCAAATTTTTATCTATTCATAAATTGACCCCATTAAAGTGACAACTCCAATTTCAAATTTCCAAGTTCCATCAAAAACTACCGCTAAAATAATCGTACGCTTGATGAAAGCAATTACAGTTAAAGAAATCAAATTAAAAGAAATCTTCACAAATTCAAAGAACTACAAAAAACCATCTGCTATTCCTTTTCTTTTTCTTCATCGTTGACGGAATAATTATTGGATTTCAAAAGGAGATTTTTTTTTTATTGAATAATAAAACATGAAAATAAAGCAAAGAATTCTCTCCTTTTTGTACTCATTTTACAATAATATAAAAAATAATAAGAATCGACCTCTTTCATACGGCGAAGGCTAGAAAGAAAGGAGTTCTATTCAATAGCTTATAGGCACAGTAAAGTTTTGTATGATCATCAAAAAAATGGTCCATCAAAAATCTTTAATTTCATTTCATGAACAATCAGCAGTCCTCTATTGATAAATGTGATGGTTGAGAATGTACCGTTATTTCTATTTGCTGCTTGTGGTCCTTTTTTTGTAGATTGAAGTGGATTTTTAGTGGATTCATTGCTGTTAATTAAAAACTATTGGATAGAATGAAAAAGCTGGTTTTGAATCGAATTAATTTGAAAGAATTGACAGCTAATTCTTTTTGTTGATGTAGATCTTATTTTGTGGTGTATTTTGAGAAAGGATCAGAAGATAAATGGTCAAAAATTTTGGATTCTCATCGTGGAGATTGTTTTTGAAAATGATACAAAATTAAATTGGTTTAGGATAAAATTGATCAAGTGGATGAGATTCTGACTAAGTTTTTTAAATGTCTATTGCTTTGAGGTGCTTAATAGTTGATTCGCAGTGTACAGTGTCTTCCTTAAGGCCAAATTGGTCAAATTTGATAACATTTGAACATTTACTTACTTACATCTCTGGTTGCACAGATCAGTTGTGATACATGGCCTCGCTTAGATGGAGCCTGAAGCTAGCTTTATCTCTGGCTAACGCTTGCTAATTACCAATACCAAGTGTAATACTGTCTATGTCAACAGCTTGTCTCCAAGAGTTCTTGAGACGTCCACGTGCTCTTTTGCCATCTACAAAATCAGACTTACGTACTTGCTTCCTTGGCTGGCGCACACGTGAGCTCGTTGCTGCGCTTAGAGAACGTCTAAAGACAGCTCTATCCTTCCACAACTTTTGCCAGTTCGGGATATTCAGGACTCTAGCGCCCTTTTCAACACAACCAATCCAAGAGTTCTTCTGTCTTCCTCTTGCTCTTTTTCCAATCCACAAAGGCTTCTCGTGTTACTTTCAGTATAAAAAAAAATCAGCCTTAAGAACTTTATTAATGGAAGTAGATATGAACACAGTATGATTAAGAAAGGGAGTTGATGATCACTACAACTTTGAATCTAACTTTACCGTTATATTGCAACGTTACTTACTTAATTTGTGCCTTAAAATAGAATAAGCTTAGCTCCTTTGTATCAAAGTGTACATTTTGACTGCAAATTAATTCACGGCACACATAAAAAGCTACTAAAAGCATATAAGATAGCCACTGCTACCACTTAAAAATCCTAAATATACAAAAAAAAATCATGCAATTCCTTAAAAAATTCTTAATATTTTCCCACGATATCATCGTCCATAGATCCATAAAAAAATCAATATTGCTTACATAACGGTCAGCAAATCATCCCTCATAAGATGCATAAAAATGGACAAACAATCCCCTTAATCTTTAATTACTTTTCCTTCTGTCTTACACAATCCTCAAAATATGTGTCTCATAATAAAAAAATTGCAGTCCACAGAAGCAAATATTAAAAAAATCCTCCCAGGACCTTTCGCATGACCCTTTTCAAATCCAAAATATAGAAAAGAGGATGATGAGATGTTCAATTTTATTATTTTGTCATGAATCAATAGATTTTATGTTTTATTGAACGGTGAATTCCTGTACATGTATGTGTGTACGAAGAAAGGAATCAACAAGAAATAAAATAAAAAAAAAATATCAGGGCATCTGTTTTTTATGAGATTCTACATGACCCAAGATGTGCATAAAATATTTTTTTATATTAAATTTTTAAATAACAATGCTTTGAGACAGGATAGAGCTACCCCTTAATATTTACCTTTACATGCATGATCTTCCGGGGTGTTGTACACATCCTTACACCATGCGAAATAGAGAAATTTTTTGTTCATTGAGTCCACAAAAAAAGCATGAAGGAACGGTAAGATGATGCGGATAAAAAAAAAATTCGAGGGTCCTCTTTTGTTCATGTTTAATATTAAAAAAGAAGTAGCACAATTACACATGTGTAGAGGAATTTTTTTATACAGCAATAGCAACAAGCAGGGAGATAGATCCGAATATCTGAGATGGGAAAGATAAATCTTAATGGAAATACCTGGGAACATTTTTTTTTGTTCCATCCAAACAGCGTATAATTTTTTATTGTTTGTTTGTACGATCCATAAAGTAATGTGCGTACACAAGGAATACAATTTTTTTGCGTGCATCAATCTTGTCGGTTTCACATGGACAGACATAAAAAAGGGATATCCAATTTTTTTATGTCTTGCATCTTTACCATCGTCTTGATTATGATCGAGCCAAATTAGCGTTGCATTTAGAAAGTGCAGTCAATTGTGGATATTTTTTTCATTCTTGATTGATAATTTATTTTTAAAAACCATGAAAAGGATATCCAATGAGGGCTTAAAGATGAAAATCTATCCGAGATAATGGAACCAGCAAAAAATATATTTTTATTTGATGAGTATTGAAGGATTGAGGAATGAGTTGGGAATTATGAAATGATGTTGATAAATACTTTCTTTTTTGGATTTTTGAAAAAATGAATTTTTAAGTATTTGAAATAAATTCTTAAGCCACACTGTCTTTAAAAATTAATATGGAAATTCATGAAAATCCATTACGGATGCAAGTTCGAATCTCACAAATTCAAGATTACAAGAAGAAATTTTTTATTTATTGCTATTTCTCTTTTTTTTTGGCTAGTTTTTTGATAAAGTTCCATAGAAATAGCTGTTAACCAAGTTGCTGGAAATTAATCGAGTGCCAAAATGCTGTCTCCAATTTATCAATCAAGTTTTACTATTTCAAAAATCCCAAATTAAAATTCAATGAAACAAAATTTCTCCAAACCACAACTCAGCCCTAAAATCTTCAAAAATCTCCATGTCATTTCCCATAAATCACCTTACCAACTCCTCCAATTCCACTTACAATGTAAATTTCACTGAATTAAAACAAAAAAAATGTTTTACATTGAACTATTTAATCTCAATATTTTTTTTAAGGTTAGTTGTGTCTAAATCGACAACAATCACATTGATGTACAAGCTATACACGGCTCATACATTTCCCATGCACTTTCCTACATGTTGTGGCTTTCCAAAAACGACAACGATGGAGAGAATTTCTGAGAATGAGACACACAAAAAAAAATATATTTGTGTTTTACTTTTATTTGAATTAAGAGACAGTGATTGTATGTAAATGAATCAATTCGTACTTAAAATGCTTATGGATTAACAACAAAAGGCACAATAAGTTTGTGTTACATATTTTGTTGTTGTTGCTGCTTACTTCGCCGTGATTTAATAATGTTTCGATTTTGTTCACGCGGCTGTTCAATGCGGAATCGATATTTGAGCGAAAATGAATGTCAAATGTCCTCTTAGAGAACTTGGTGACCCAGGAAGGTGAGAAGTGCTTTATTGATTTAGGGACTGTGTTTTTGTGATCAATATATTATTTTCAGGATGTAAATGCAAAAAAAGAAGAGTAATTTTCAAAACTAAGCCATTTTATCTAATTTTGATTTGAACTCAAGGCTTTAACAAAATTTTGAAAAAGTCGTCAATTTAGTATAAGTTCTGGTCGGCATAACTCAAACTTAATCTACTGTTGCAAAGCCAAAAGTAAAGAGGTTGAGCGAAATAAGGTGAGGAGGGGGGGGGGGGGGGGGGGTTCATGAAGTAAGATTATCATTTGTCTGTATGGAAGTTATTCAGGATATAACTTTTCGGACGTATTGTACAATCTCTTTAAGCACAGTGAGGAGAGGAGGTCCCAGCACACATACATACTCTTCACCCCCCCCCCCCCCCCCCTCCTCCCAACACCCTCCAAAAAAATTAATTTTCAAACCTTAAACGAGCCGCATGCTGTGTGCGGTTTTGGTCATGACTTACCCCTCAAGTGGGCCCTGGCACAAAATGTTTGGACAACACTGCCTTAAAGCTTCCATCGCACACTGGGACGAAAAATTCATAAAAGCAAAATCTTGTCGATTCAATATTTATATATAAATTTTTCCACTCTCCCAACAAGCACAAGCAAACAATCCCAGGCCGAAGAAGTTACATTGAAGTAAGTGTTATGCATAGCACCGCAACATTCATTGTGCATATATTTAAAATAACATGAAAACTAATAATTGATTTTTATATTCACAAAGCCTTCAGATCTAGAGAGGAGCGGGTGCGCTTACTAAGAAGAAATATGGTGCACAATATGATTTTTAAGGTCAACTGTATTGAAAACGAAAAGACACAAGCGAGTGAGAGCGAGCAAAAAAAATTCTCAGGAATCGCAAAAGTCAATTTAGACAATTTGCAAAATGTCTCCTCGATTTCTCGCACCTTTGTGATGCTGATGCTCGGCCTTTTGTGTGCCTATAATTTTGCATAATTGACTCTATAGCATCAACATTGTACATTACTGAATATAGAGATGATGCTGATGCTTTCGCTTTAATATTTTGCAATTACATTGCACATTTTAATCAGTGTAAGGAATGTGAGGCATTCTTTTGAGCAGATTTGAATGGAAATGAAGATTTAATGGTATGGTTTGGATGGTTGGCTGGTTGGATGAAAATAAAATAGAATCATTGGGTACCATGACATAAACGTTATCGGTAGGAAGTATTTCCAGATTAAGATCATTAAAAAGTCAGTTTGAGGTTAGAAATTAAAAAAAAAGATCCAAAAAACTATAGTTATCTACAAAAAAATATAATTCTACACGTTTATTTAAGGATTCGAACCTTTGACTTATTTAAAATTTCAAGCTAATTCCAATAAAGTTAATTTTATAGCTTGATAAACTTCTGCAATCTCATTTAGGTTCGTTCACTTATTACGTAACGCACTAGGGGGGGAGGGGGGTCTAAGATTTTGTTACGGTTCGTTACAGGGGGAGTTGGGGGGTCTAAATTTTGTTACGTAACTTTTCAAAAAATATATTTTTTTATAATTTTTTCTATATTAATTTTAAATTTTTTTAACGTTAAATTTTAACTTAAGAACTTTTTAACAGAGATCGAAGCCGATTTTTTCGGCTTAACTCAATTTTTGATTTTTTTGATAGATCGGCTTAAATTTCGGCTTAAAACCGGTTTACGTGAAATTCTGAGCTTCCTATAGCTACATGCTGACAAAATGTTACATAGAATCATAGTAAAGCACATAAAGTTCAATTTAAATACTTGAAATGGGTGTTAAATGGCTTTTTTCTATCAAAAAAATCAAAAATTGAGTTAAGCCGAAAAAATCGGCTTCGATCTCTGCTTTCTAGTTATAAGTAAAACTGTTTATTTTACATACTTAAAGGAAGTATAATAAACATTTGATAAACAATTTAAATGAAAAAAATTATTGTTACGTTATGGGGGGGAGGGGGGGTCTAAGATTTTGTTACGCTTTGTTACAGGGGGGGGGGGGGTGGGGAGGGGGGTCTAAAAACTCGTTTTTTTGCGTTACGTAATAAGTGAACGAGCCCTTTATAGTTTTTACCATTAAATCTGCGCTGCAACATCCCAAATCATCCAACTCGTTCCTCAATTTTGTTGCCAATTCCATCGTCGTGAGATTATTTTCATTTCTTTCTCTCTCTTCAGTTCTGCACAGAAATAAATAAAAAAAAATTTTCTTTATTGTTAAATGCAAATAAAAACATCGAATGAGCATTTTGCGCCAATGTTCGACATAATTTTGTGTACAGAATCTCAAATTAGTTCCTCATTTGAGTCCACTACTGTATGATGCTACAGACAGATGATGATGATCATTAACAATATTTTTGTGTAGATGAATTACTGCACATGTTTGGAACTTACTAACTGTTGTGGATGCAAATGTACTCTAATTTCATTTTTGTTTTATCGTCTTTTGCTGCCTTCTCTTGCCTCATGCCTTTTTAATGTCTTTTATAGAAATCACGAAAAAATTGTTGCATTTTGTTCTGCTTCTTATTTTATTTCTGTGGTCGCTCTCATACATTTTTTTTTTATTGTTGGGATTTATGCAGTTTGCAAATGAAAAATGTGCAATAAAAATATTTTATTTATTTTTCGTAATGAAATGCAATAAAAAATTAAATTTGTTGTGCAAAATAAAATTGTTCTGGCACTTAAATGAAAGACTCATATGGATGTATGGATGTATGGAGTTGAGTTTGTTTAATGATTTTTTACACTTAAGATTATTATTTGTTTGAGGATTATTTGGGGATGGTCGGTGGAGTAGCTCATTGTTTTCTGGGTTGTTCATGATTGATAAACAGCTAATGAAGAGAGGAGGTTGGGGAGGGTAGGGGGGTGTCTGTCACTTTTTGACACTTCTTAACAACTAAAATCTTTGTGAAGGGGGGAAGAAAGGGAACCAGATAAAGCTTCAGAAATTCAGTTTTATGATTGACATCATTTATGAACGATCCCTTATGAGATATTGTCAAATTAGGGCGCTCAAGCCTTAGTGCTTATGAGCGACGTAGAAAAAAAAATTGTATGCCATATCAGAAAAAACAACTTGATTGCTATAAACTGACTAGCGTTTAGGCAACAATGTCAAAAATTTTGATTGTCCTTCATCTTCTTTCAATTTAGGAATCGACACAGTATCAGTTAAGTATGCTATTTATCATTCATAAACTAATCTATAACATACAGAATTTAAATGTTCAACTATATTTTTAATCAAGTTTGAAGGTTCGAATCTTTCTTCTTAAATGAGAATTTCCAACAAGTAAGCAAGTCAAATTAAGTTTATAAATGAAAAAAACCCAAAATGCGCTTCAAAACTTCTCCATTCTTTACTTCCAACAATATTTTTTTATTGCCAGTTATAGATTCATTTATTTTTTATTCCTTATATTATTTGAGAAGCTGTCGGATTAAAAAGAACAACACAGCCCAGCAGAAAAAAAAATAATAAAATCATCTCATCCTTAAGATACAAACGATGCATCTGATGAAGATGATTGGTTTTTATTGTGGCAAAAAAAAATTTTTACATTTATTTATTTTTGCCAATAAGCCATTAAAATAACATAGAAAGATGTGTAATAAGCAACAAAACTATGCCACATCGCATTGAGAAATTAAAGAAATCTGTCTTATTATTCTATGATATTTAATAAGGTAGGCTGTTAAATGCCTTAGAGCAGCATAAATTTCCATGTTATTGAGAAATGAAGACATACATGACACAGTAGAGGCATGAAAAATTGAAAAATAAATTATGAAGCTTAGAATAGAGTGATGAGTTGGGGGGTTTTGGACATGGCGCATTTTGAATTTCGGTATAGTTTTTTTTTGAAAAAAAAAAATCGTTTTAAAGGAAAAGTTCTAAGCATGTTTTAAGACCATTTTACAAAATTTGAGACTCGAACTCATTTCTTCTTGAAACTTCATTATTTTTTCGGATACAACTTAATCTGATTTTAATATTTTTTTTTGATAAAATGTTATTATAAGTTTGACTAAGCAGAAATACAGAAGGAGCAAGGAACCCCCCCACCCCCACCTCCCCACTCTCCTTTAATTTTCCAGGCATTTTGAAGGAAAAATTAGGTCGTAACTGATGTTTTAGGCTCATTTATCTTTTTGATCAGCATTGCGTCTATAATTCCAATGTCAACAGCAGACACCAGGGGGTAGCCAGGAATTTGAAGAGGGGAGGGGGGATTTTTTATATCAAAAATTAAAGAGATGGAGATTCTTAGGATTTTATAATAGAAACCCTAGCAAAATAAAGGAATTTCTTTTAACGTAGGGCGATTTGTCCCCAAAATACCCCCTTGGCTACGCACCTCACAGACACAATAATCCCAAAAACCACAACTCATTGAAAAACCTGCTCAAATTTTTTACTTACAAGCTTCATTTTCACTTTTCATTTAACTTTTTTCCACTTAAGCCTCGTCTTCATTTCGCTGAAATGATACATATCCATACATTTGCCCACAACTTATGAGCATGATTGGGTCGTTCATTAATGACGTCTCTGTTTAAAAATAGGGTGTCTTCTACTAATTTGCACTCCTTTTACTTTGAATCCTTACCTTGAGGTTGTTTCTAAAGCTGACTCTAGTCACAGAGAATAGTTCATAGACTTTTAATTCAACGGTATGGTAGCTATACAAGCCACTAATATTCTCCTCCACATTATGATACGTCACTACACAACAACCCCAACATTGAAGAATATGGAAAAAAATTAAATCCATGGGAGAGTTATTTTTGTCAGCAAACAAAAGCCACAACTTTTTTTTACTTCAGCCAAAACCACGGCGAGCATCGAAGCAGCTCAACGAGGTACTTTTCAAATGGTTAACAAGATGTAGAATTATTGCTATTGAGATTAAAGGTTTATATGTTTCACCTTAGCAAAGTCATTATGAAAACCATAATTGGAAATTTTTAACCGTCATGCATAAAACGAGTGCAGAATATTGACCATTTCCCTCTCATCTGCTTCTTCTCGAAGCTGTTGAATGAAGCGTCTCTCAAAGTACAATATTTAGACGCCCACGGAGTCAAAGATTAACACGCGGACGCTTCATTTCCAGCTTTATTTTTTTTTAAAACTTCTATCGATCGACTAGCAATTAAACAATTCTTCTATGGATGAAAATAGAGATGGAATGTGGAGCAATTGGTACTCTTTGAATTGTAATTTTGCAATTTGAAAGAAAATTTTCAGCTACAAAAAAAAAAGAGGCAACGACTTAAAAGTTCTCATGGACTTATCAAAAGTCAAAAATCTCTTCTTTCTCATTTCACATTATTTTTTTTTCGTTCATCTTGTTGACTGGCGCAAAGGCTGAAACGTGATGTTGTTTTACTATACATTTTTTTTGAGCAAGCTATTGGATACCTGATGTGATGTTGAGGCACTTAGCCATGACTTTTCATATTGCTTTCAATTGGAGCTTCTCGTTGAAATGTAAAGCATGAGTTGGATGATATTGGATTGGACATTTGAGTGGAGGATAAGGCGCAGGTTGTATGGTCGCATTAATTACTAATGGCATCCTTAAAATACGACTTTTATGTAGGCCCCCTATATAGTCCTAGAGCCCAGCACTCGATATTCTTTCATAATATTTTACAAAATCGCATCCTCAATAATCAAATTGCACCTCCAATCACGTCAAAAGCTCTGCTAACCTCAACAATTGCACCAAAAAAAACAACATAAAGTTCATTCCTCACTTCATTTTACAGCTGGGCATCGATTGCAGCTTGTTAGATAAATTAACATGATTTGCTCGAGTTCAAAAATAATTCGTTACCGTTGAAATGTTAAGACTGGTCAAAGGATGGCTTTATTTAATAAAAAAATAATTTCTTAATAATTTTACAGCACTGCCACAACAAAAAAGGCTTAAATGAATTTTTTCTTCTTTTGTATCGTTGTGCGTTTTTTTTGTAACCTTTTGAGACAGCAACAAAAGAAACGAAATCGGCAGGCGTAACTTGCACGTCAATTCATCATCAGGTTTATGCCGCTGCTGTTGATGCTGCTGAGGTTGCTAAATTAAATAAGTTGATTAAGTAAAACAAAATCTTAGATCAAGCATCATGGCGTGTCTCATTTCATTTGCAAGATTATTATTTGACTCATAAGTGCACACAACTAGACACGACTCGTTGCTACCCAATTAAGACTGTTAAGAAGCTTTGTTGCTTATTTTTTTGCATAATTTTTTTTTATTTTCATTCACAGAGATTCACAATATTCGATACACCCACAACTGAGGAGAAGTAAAGAGGTATGTTGAGTAGATAAGTTGATGCTGGGCTTATTTGTTGCTGTAAGACGTGAAATTTGAGATATTAATTAAAATACTGAAAGTTCTGTGACAAATCATTGAATGATAGTTTTAGAAGTCTAGCCTGAGAAAGGAAGGGGGGGGGGGGGGTCTCCCAGAAAATAAATAGCAGTTCCCAAGCCCTGCTTATCTCTCAAAAACATCAATTATCATTGAATACATCTCATTTCAAGTCCAATTTTAAGCATAAATTCCTTTCTCAATAATAAATTTCAATTACAGTTTTCACAATCACAATTTCCAAAGTACTTAATAATCAGCTAAAAATCATCAGAAACTCTTTCTCTTTACATGTTCTCCACTAATTTATGGCAATTATTTTCCGCACAAGAGCATTAATTCCAATGCGTTTAAGCGATTTACATTGTTAATAACATTCATAGAAATTTTATTTTTTTAAAAAATGGGTGAATGTATGCATTTGTACATTACCAACAAATAATTACCTTAAGACGATCGAATGCTTGCAATTTTAAAAACTAATCTCTTTTCTTCGTGCGAAATTGAATCTTGTGCTGCATAGATATGTAGACTTGATTTTTTTGGGAATAGACACTTGGTTGTTATGACAAAATGATGCAGAAAATTAAGCAAAACATTGATGTGATGCAGAAAATGATGCGAGATTCTTAAGTGACGCAGAAAATGATGCTAGCTTCTCAAAATGAAAATGAAACAAGATCTTTTAAATGATGCGAGATTCTTAGGTGATTCAGAAAGTTTTCTTTGTAAAGTGTACATCGCTACAACTGCTCAAAAGATGCAGAAAATGAAACAAAATCTTATAAGTGATGTAAAAAATGATGCAAAATTCTTGAGTGATGAAGAAAATAAGCAAAACATTGAAGTGATGCAGAAAATGATTCAAGATTCTCAAGTGTTGCAGAAAATGATGCAAGATCTTGTAAGTGATGCATAAAATGATGCGAGCTGCTTAAGTGTTTGCATAAAATGAAGCAAAACATTGAAGTGATGCAAAAAATAATGCAAGTTCTTGTAAGTGATGCGTAAAATAATGCGAGCCGCTTAAATGATGCAAGATTCTCAAGTGACGCAAAAAATGATGTGAACTGCTT